TTTGTGCCTTTCCTGGAACTCTATTTGTAGACCAGGCTGGCCTCAAACTCACAGAGATCCGCCTGCCTCTGCCTCCCAAGTGCTGGGATTAAAGGCGTGCACCACCACCGCCCGGCTAAGGTAGTCTTAAGATATGTAGTAATAAGCTTGTTAGAAGTAAAGATGCTAGTTGTAAATGTAAGTTTAAATAAGAAATAAGATGGAATGAACATAAGAAATACATAAGAATAAGAAATATATTTGCTAAAGTAGTTCTATAGTTTCCTTAAGGAGTATAAATAAGTAGATGTTAATATGTTATATGTGAGTTTGTAAAAATGTGTAAATGTTGAGTGAGTTTATGATTAAGCACGTGTTATATGTGAGTTTGTAAAGTGTAAATGTTAACTGTTGGTCTATTAATGTATATGGTGAAAGAACCCGAGACACATACGGTTAGTGTCCCAGTAGACTGCAAAGTAGGCAGTCTGAATGGTTTCAAAAGCTCCAGAAGCCGCTAAAAAGCTAAGAATGGCGGACGCCAGAACCAGCACAACAAGGAATCCGCAGCTGAGATCCGTGAAAACGCAACACAGAAAAACTTGAGCTAACATCAAAAATGGTGCGGTTTAGAATACTACTGTACCTAGAAAGGTCTCTGTTTGTGAGAACAAAAGTTGCAGGGACGCTTGTTTGAACTAAAATTGTTAACTGCAAAAAGTTTTGGTTGTAAAACATCTCTTCATATTTTGAAGTAAAAGCCTGATACCAGAATTTATTTCTTGTTTGAACTTTTTGAACTTAAAATGAGATAGAACTACAAAAATTTTGGCTATGGATTTCTCATATTTGGAAGGCTCGTACCAGAATTTATTTGAATTTTGGGACTTAATGAAATGAACAACAGATTTCATTGCAATGGGACAATTTTGAGTTTATTCATAGTAATGACCTAGGAACTGTTTGCTGGAATTGGGTTAAAAATGGAACTGTTTAAATGAAGAAATTTATTTCTACCTAAAGTCAAGATGCAGTTTTGTGTATGCATATATGCTTTATTAACTGGTGATTCATGAATTGTTTTGTGGAACTGTTTATGTAAAAATGGAATTACTTATGGAACTGGTTTTGTGTTACAAATGGAACTATTTAAACAGAAGTTTGGGTTTTATAAGTAGGCTTGTGATTTTGCTTAAAAAATTATAAAAGGGAGAGTTAATATTCCTTAGTCTATTTAAAAAAATATTTTCTTTGAGTGGGTTAATGTCATGTTTTGTTAGTAAGAAATCCAAATGGGGTATACTAAGAGACTACTTTTAAAGTGTGTAAAGAGTTTTATTAAACTGTTTTTGGATGTTTTGCTAAAAGTTTTCAAAGTGTTAATGGTTAGATTGAAAATATTGCTTTTCAATATGGGTTTGTAGGAATTGTATAAGTTTGAGCTTTTGTTTAAAAAATTATAAAAAAAAGGAGGAGTTATGAGATTGAATTATGTTTGCAGAAACCTACTGATATTAATGCACCCTGGTTTTGTGGAGTTAAGGAAATATTTAAGTTTAATGGGAATACATCGAAGTTTTTCCTATGTTCTGTTAGCAAGAATACTCAAATGATTGAGTTAAAGTTGTAAGACAAAGAAAATTGTTAACTATATATAGCACCATATATGCTAATTCAAATGGTTCTGGTTAAGAGTTTGCTTTGAGTTGTAAGATTGAGAGAATTGTGACTATGTATAGCAATATTTATGTTAACCTGTTAATGGTAAAGTTGAAGCTAAGGGATTCTTTAAGTTTGTAGTCGCCTTAAGAGTTTTTGGTTTAGAAAGAGCTTGAGGCAGCTAAGACTGCTGTAGTCACCTTGGACCTAATTCAAAAGAGAAATGCCATCTTTATCATCCTCTACTCCCATACTGGGAGGTGTAACAGCTGGAGATTGCTGTAAGCCATTAATAGTTGTTTTTTATATATTAAGAAAGGGGGACCTGTGGGGACCCGTTTTCGGGTTCCTCGTGGCTTTACCCAGCAGGTCCGCATAGAAGATAATCAGAACCATGGGCCTGAGTGCAGGTGTCTGAGATGGTCTGCACTTGGCTGTGCTGGGGGAGGAGGTTTTTTGCCCCCCCCCTTGGCATCTCTATAAAAACCCTGGGGGAGAGAAAGTCGGGCCCGCTGGAAAAGGTTCCAGGCCCTCTCGAGGCTATCCTTTATTTTCTGTTTATCTCCGCAATATTCTCCGCAATAAATCCTTCTATTAATATTTCCTGCTGCTCACACTCAAGAAAACTCTGGGGAGCTGTGGGGTTGGTAGGTAAACACCCCACAGAAGTCCAAGCAGTAATCCGTTGTTTGTTTGCTTTTGTTTTTTGAAGCCTTGTGTAGCCCTGGCTGTCCTGGACCTTACTCTGTAGACTAGCCTCTACCTCAGAGATCCGCCTGCCTCTGCATCCACAGTGCTGGGATTAAAGTGTGTGTCACCACCACTTGGTGATTTTCTACCACCTGGTTCTGCAATGTTCTTTAGTGAAGACAAATACTTCAAATGTTTACAGAAAACTGTATTGTATACAGTACAACCCACTCTACCAGCTAATGATGAGCATGTACGAAATCTCACTTAGCATTTACTCAGAAGCAAGTACAGGTGCTGTCCTTCGTGTCGGACACACACACCTAAGTACACCAGGACAGCACCAACCTCGTGTCTGCTTTTTAACGGGGTCTACAACAGAGACGCCCGAGGGCACTGCTGAGAGGGCTCAGAGGGAAGGGCACTCGCCACCAGGTCTGAGGACCGCTTTCCTCCCCGTGTCCCAACTGTAGACAGAGAATCGGCTCTAAGTTCTCCTCTGACCCCCACACAAGCGCCTCCATTCCTCATTCACTCCCTCCCTCCACAGGAAATAAATGTCATTTGAAAGGGTAATTTTGCATTACATATTCATGCAAAGTCTCCACACCTGATCCATTGATACATGTTTGCCGTGATAGTCAAGCCGAATAGGAACTTCTGCTGTGAATCTGAATTCTCTGGGGGGGGAAACAAAGGGAGTTGGTTATATTCAAATTACTGATCATAAAATGAGACCTAACTTGTTAAACTGAAAAATCAAAACAAAACCACAAAGTAAATTACAAGTACATCTTATGTCCTAAATACAAAAGAATGCCTTTTAGTTCCAGCTTATGACGAAACAGATAAATTTTATCTATTGTATTTAAATGTTGTCAAATGCCTTTTCTTAGTTTATTAAATGTTTATGCTTAGAAAAAATGTTTACATATTCTCAAGTCATATAGAGGACAAATTAATAAAAGTGGCCTCAGACGTCAACAAGAAGTAGACAGGAGAGGCAAGAAGACCATCCCTGCTCCCAACACTACATGGGATGCAAGTATGGACGGCTCAGCCCTCTGAGCCTCAGGTCTTCATCACTGTAAAAATGGCATACGGGGGCTGGAGAGGTGGCTCAGAGGTTAAGAGCAACTGACCGCTCTTCCAGAGGTCCTGAGTTCAATTCCCAGCAACCACATGGTGGCTCACAACCATCTGTAATGAGATCTGGTGCCCTCTTCTGGCCTGCAGACATACATGCAGGCAGAACACTGTATATATAAATAATTTTTTTTTTTTTTAATGGCATACCCTGGCAAATGTTGGTGAGAATTTGTGAAGTTAATGCTTGTAAGTAGATGTGAATATACTAACACTGGAGAATCTGGGGTGAAATTCCAACTACACACTGTTGATAAATGGCCACAGTGAGCTGCCTACCCATAGCTGACTGGGAATTTAATGCTCAGAACTCAAAACATGATTTCCCCCACAGAATAAACACTAATGGTTAAACACCAAACCATCTCAGAAAGCCCCGTACCCACAATAAAATGGCAATGTGCTATCTACTGTGGTCAGTGTCTAAGCCTGGGTCCCAGCTCGTCTCTGTCTCTGAGTACACCCACGTCTGCATCTATTCGCCTGGGCAGACACCTTTATTCCCTCAGCCCTTCCCACACCTCTCTTCCCTGTGGAATAAGATGTGTTAATAGACAGACCAATTGATTATTTATACATTCAGTTAGCCAGAGACTCTTCACAGTGCCTAGATAGAATATGAAAGACACAGTGAGTGCACTAGCCACTTGGGGAGGGAGGAAAACGATTCTGGCGGCATCACTGGAAAGTCAGCAGGCAGACCACTAGCTAAGCCCACGCTCTAACTCTCCGGGAGTTAACTTACATCTGTGAAGGAGTAATTGTGGTACCACCACTCTACCACCCCAGAGTTCTGGACCCTCCAGGAGAATAGAGGGGAAATCTACAAGCTATTTTGTGGTGGTATTCTAATTGTACTGAAATGTGATTTTGATTGTATGTTAATAAATAAAGTTGCCCGGGGGTCAGAGCTATTGGAGCCATAGACAGAGTGTGGCGGTGGTGGTGCACGCCTTTAGCCCCATAGATCTCTGTGTGTTCAGGGATACAGCCAGCATTGGAGACATATGCCTTTAAGACCTGGGGGGCTGTACATACAGACAGTGACGAGGCAGTCACGTGTTTGGGTTTACAACCAATGAGAAGGCAGAATGACTATGAACCGACTTACACACAGGGAAATAGCTCTCTTTCGGGAAGCTAGGGTGACCGCAGGAGGAAGGATGAGATTTTAGCTCTGAGCTCTGACCTCTTGGCTTTCTCTTTTACATTGGTTCTGTGTTTCTTATTTAATAAGAGGGTTGGTTACATCTACACTATTTTCTGTATTTCAAATAACCCAGCACAAACATACAAAATCAACGTTTGCCTAGGTAAAACTACAGGGCCTGCCTTACTCCAGTTGAAGACTGTTGAGCCAGGTGTAGTGGCATGTCTGTAACCTCAGCTACCTGGGAGACGAAGGAAGCAAGAGCTAGAGTGTGAGGCCAGCCTGGGCCAGTGAGACCGACCTCCATACAAACAAAGTGTCAAATTTCTTGCTTTCAAGATTACATTTACTAAAGCTGGATTGGCAAAGTATATGTGATTAATACAAAATAGTACACTAAAATTAATACACTAAGACACAAATCACCATAGGAAAATAACAAAAGTGCATTTGCAGTGAAAATGTAGAGTCAGCAGACACTTCATCTGTGGTCCTTCCTTTCCTATATGCTATTATTTCTACACCTGTCATCATTACTATACGGCATCTTTAAAACATGACATTTCTAAAGATGACCCACTTGGACCACACCCAAGGTCTCCTCTCACATCACAGAAAGACAGCAAAACTGGGGGCCTGGGAATGAAAGGGAGGTATAGAGAAAAGGGGGAGGGGTTGTTCTCTGACCCTCCTCTTTCTAGAAATGCCAAGACTATTCTGACCAACAATGGCTAGGGAAAGAGGACAAGAAGAACAGGTCGGTCGGTCCAAGGAAGAAAAAACCACAGAATGAGGCCAGCTGGCCAGAGAGCCAAGCAGCAGCAGTGTGCAGGGCACCTGGGCTTCCCAGAATGCTCTCCTGCCTCAGGAGGATGGGAGCAGCAGACGGAGGTCTGAGCAGAAGGGAAGAAGCAGTGTGTGTGCAAAGGCCAAAGCACAGCCCCATGTGGAGGGTGCAAACACACTCCAAGACCTGAAAGGGACAGCGGGCGCAGAGGGAACGTCCACCACGGAACCAGTAACAAAGCATCCCTGCAGTCAGGGCTACTGTGTGTAAACAAGTGGGGAGAGTCAGGCAGGGGCCACAGACAACCAGTCACAGGAGCTTATACATCAGTGTGAAGGAACGCTGATGTCTCCTCATGCTTGCCGGTTCACTTACACTCCAGAGCCACCTCCACAGCTCCGCGAGAACATCATTTGTTAACAAAATAAGTGCACTTACCTAAAAAACACAGGCTGGTCTCTAACTGAAGCTTCCTCGGCTGAGAAGTCCTTCTCCTCCAGGCCATTAGCCCCCTCCGCTGAACTGGCACTATGGTTTGGGGAAGGCTGTTTGGGCCCAGGGACTACTAGATTTGGCTCCTTTGAGGTACTCAGATGCCTTGGCAAACTGCAGGTGACATCAGCTGCAGGAGACTTTGTAACTGAAAACACGAGGGGCACATCTGAGGTCAGCTCTGCCACTTTCCAGCACCACAGCAATCAATAGCGATCAGCCTGAACGCGACACTTCACTGGGTAAACCCAACTGCTGTTACAGAGATCTGCTCCCACCCTTCCATCTTCCTGTTACACACACACACACACACACACACACACACGTTTGTATTAACTAACATGGAATGCACACACATATACAGGAACAAGCACTGCAAGCATCTTCTCAAAAACAACACACAGCAATTAAAATCAACCCAAGTGGATCTGGTCCTGATTTAGCAGTAAGCTGACTTACAATTCTTCCCCCTCACAAAGGAGAGAAGAAGTGCGCACATTCTGTAAAAACTGAACGTGGAATATGCACTTTGAGCTTTGCTTAGCAGTGTGCAGCTCTGTCCTCTTGTAGTGTTGGGTGGCCACAGCTCTTTAGTCAGCAGTTGCTAGAGAAAACAACCAACACTCCACACCATGTGCTGCTGAGTCATCACTAAGTGGACACCAGGCACTAGACTGGGCTTGCAAAGGCATTCTGAGGAAGTGACCCCATCCCAGGCATTAGACTCGGCTTGCAAAGGCATTCTGAGGAAGTGACCCCATCCTAAGTAAGCCCTCCGTCCTCATCACAGAACCCTCTGCCTGTACATGTTAAGTACCTTCTGGATCTGGAGTCAACAGAAGCTCCACTTCTGTAGAAAGACTTGTGAAGAAATCCTTGAGGAAGAACAGGGCGTCCTGGAAGGGAGACGAGTCACTGTAACTCAGTGTCCGTCACTCACCATCATACAGCAGTCACTGCACTTCTCTGTGGCATTTCCACCACTCATTTGTTCTTTTCACACACAGGCAACCTCATCCCTGTTATTTTCTACAACTATGAAAAATCAAAAGCACAAACATAACAGAACAGAGAGACTGAAAGAGTAGGAATGGGCAGGGTGTGGTGGTGGCCTTTAATCCCAGCGGTGGTCTATATGGCGGCCAGCCTGGGTGGTATCACCAGTTCTAGGACAGCTAAAGCTACTCAGGCCCTGTCTCAAAACAGAAACAAAAACCAAAAACAAAAAAATTAGCAATGATTTCAAAATCAAAGTGCATTTTTGTTTTCTTTGAAAGAAAATGTCCTCACTTGCTTTTAGCATGAGTTCTCATCCTAAATTGGCAATAACATTACTACTAGTAACAGCAGATGGCATCTCTTATATATTTATTTACCTTGTGCCACTGAACTCCCGTGATCTTATTCTTCTTTAATCACTACTATATTGCCTTAACACAGTTCCTTCATTGCACAAGTTATTCAAAATGGGAATTTGAAGCTGGACACACCCACAATCCCAACATAGCTTCCTAATAAATAGGAAGCTGAGGCAGGAGGATTGCCAAGAACTCAAGAATAGCCTAAGCTACATAGCAAATTTGAAGACAGCCATGGTAGAGCAAGACTCTGTCTTACAAAGGAAATAAATACATAAACAAGCACAAACTAAATCGCCCACTCAGTGTAGTCTTTTCTGCAGTCACATAGGAGAAGCAAAGTGTCTGGCTCTGGCCTAACACCCCGCCAGGCCCACACACTCAGCTGGCAAATGCAGCGCATAAAACACAAACTTGAAAGCCTAAGCCCATTCTTTCCCATCCTTCCCTCTATCAGAAACTCTAAATTCTACAAAAAATTAACATCGCACCAAATACAGTGTGACTGTGAGCTGCAGGGTCATGATGCTGGTTCACACCAAAAAAGTCTGACTCACAGTTTCCAAGAAGGTAGTTACTTGTCATCCCATCTACAGTGTATTTAAATGATACAGGTGACAACATTCTAGGTACTATGGTGCCTAGAGGTCTGAGACAGTTCACCAGTACCTGGTTCTGAGGCAGGCAGCAGGTTCATAGAGGGTTCATTACTGTGTCATGCTCGGCACATGTACATGTGTGTGGTACTGCTCACACTGTACATGCTTATTACATGTTTAATCACAGCATTGCATGCTAATTAACAGTATATAAAATGCTGTTCTTTAACCACCACTCGAGAGTGACAGTTTAATGTTGTACATGTTACTCCAACACTGTTCAAACAAAGGAAAAACAGTGTAAACCTGTTCTTGAAGAAAAAAAGGAAAACTAAAGACATACAAGAAACCCTGACTTTTTACGATGTTCTTTTATTATGGTATTTATGTCTTGCTGTAAAAAGAGCAAATCACAGACATCTCACAAGAAGATACAGCGATGGTTCCTAAGAATGTGAAAAGAGGCTACACATCGCCAACCATCAAGGAACCCCAAATGAAGATACAGAAACACTAAATACATCTTAAAAGATGACAGGACCAAGTTTGGCCAGGACAAGAAGCAACCAGAACACTTACTGGCTGCTAGTAGAAAACAGTTAAGTAGCTGCTCACAGTAGCCGAAGGACCTAGAAGTTCTGCTTTTATTTACTACATATACGTAGATGCCTGAGTGTATATGTGTAAAAATACACATGCATGCACGTAACTCAAGAGAGATGAAAAATATGTCCACAAACACTTGTATACACATTTCAAAATGGCCTTATTTATGAACACTAAAAGAAAGTGCAGACCAGCAGGCAAATGGGTACGCTGGGGCACATGCATGGTGACACAGTTGAACCTCACAGACACAACTCAGAGGAAGGAAGCCAAAGACACTTCCGTTTATGCAGAGCCACAGCCCGGGAAGATGCCCTGTGAGGCGAGGGAAAGATGGATGCCTGTGTGGAGATGGTGAGACCCCACTACACACGGTGGAGAAGTCAGGGCATTTCAGCTGACAGAGCAGCTACTCTGTGGTAAAACTCTATCAAGTTCCACTGCATGCTTAAAATCTGCATACTTCAGAAGAGTATTTTAGCACAATCGTTTAAAATTTAAAATTTAGTCAGTATTCAATATTAAACTTTGACTGTAAAACATTTATGCCTAGCCTGAGGTTCTATACAGAGCAGAGTAACAGTACTGTGTTAAAGAACTACTTTAATGTCAGGCTCACTCTGTGATGTACGATGACACCATGTGGTCATACAATTTCTATTTCCCTCACTGTTTTCCCTAAGATTAATATTTCTCCACTTTAAAGTAACTATGCTTTCTTTATAGTTCTACAGGAGGAACTACAATCAATATTAAAGAAAATGGAGCTTGCTAAGTTTGGTAAGGCCATACAATAAATTTGACTCTGACTCAGTCTTCTCATGGTAGGATTTTCCACAGATCAATTTCTCCATAAATATTTCACTATATTTCTAGTAAGCCAGCACATGGATAAATTGAATTAAAATAGAGATATCAAGGGGGCTGGAGAGATGGCTCAGTGGTTAAGAGCGCTTGCTACTCTTGCAGAAGACCCAAGTTCAGATCCCAGGGCCCACACTGTGCAACTCACAACCACCTATAGCTCCAGTTCCAGGGACTCTGAAGCCCTCTTCTAGCTTCTGTAAGCACCTGCCCACATATGTGCAAATACTCACATACATACATACACATATGCACACGAAAGTACACATAAATAAAAATAAATCTTTAAAAAATATGCATATCAAAGATATTTTCATAATGAAAAAATACAATTCTAAAGTTGACCAGCTCAGAACCCACAAGCATTATATATAAATCCAGTTTCCTCTTGCACATTATCTCAGACTGGGCCTGCTCTGTTTACAGTTTGAGTATCTATTTCAATTGATGTCTGAGATGCCTGTCACTTGCCATAGATTATCCAAATTTTATTTAAGTGACAATGATCAAAAATCAGCATTACTTAGGCAAGTGAATAATGGTATCCACAAATACGCCAAACCCCAAACTATGAAAGGTTTATCAAGAGATTTTGCTATTTTTAAAATTCTGCGTATGTTCTGTGGCTGTTGCTTGCTTCAGCTAATATTCACGTAAGTTCACACAACACAAACCTGGTCGATATTGAGGCGAAGTGGCATCAGTGACACTCTCAAACAGCACTCCTGTGGTAACCTGCCAGACTCCGGACGGACGTGTAATGCTTTAATTGTCAACTGCAAGAAAGAGAAAAAAAACATTTTCCCTGGTGACATAACGACCTTGTTCTCATTTAAAAAAAAAAAATAAAAAGTAATCATATTTCTATCTGAGAAAAACAGCAGAATTTTGAGTTTTGAGGCCAGCCTGGGCTAGACAGTGAGACCTTGTCAAAGAAGAAAGAAGGAAGATTACCCTTTTCCTTAAAAGCCTGTTCACCCATCAAGAAAATCTTAGGACCCATGACTCAGAGGACCACAGCAAATGACAACACTGCAGTTCCAGGTCAACGGAGCTGCCTGAGCTCCCAGAGCCGCTGCACGGCCAGAGTCCAGGGCCGGCCTGTCAGACCCCAGAGTCCAGAGCCGGCCTGTCAGACCCCAGAGTCCAGAGCCGGCCTGTCAGACCCCCAGAGTCCAGAGCCGGCCTGTCAGGCCCCCAGAGTCCAGGGCCGGCCCGTCAGCCCCCAGAGTCCAGAGCCTGCCATTCCCACTTCACTAACATTTCAAGTCTTCTAAGGTGAAGGGCTAACAGCAGTCCTAGTTGTTTTCACATGGTTCTGTTTTACTTGAGAGGTGACATATTAACAATTATAGATAGAGGATGTAGTTTATAAAATAACTCTTGAACACAAAACTTAAAATAGTATATTTAACGGGAATTTTCATATTAAAAAGAGAAAACACATCCCCCCCCATTTCAAGTCCTTCTTCCCACTCTAATTGGCCTGTAGTTAGACACAAAGAAAAACGCTTTTCCAGAACTAACAAAAAGAGAACAAGGCTTTGAGGCATCTTACCATGTTGGAATGAGCTTTACGAGGCATGTCTTTGCTGCAGTACAGGTATAAAAATTTGTTCATTTGTGATGTTGCCAGCCGATCCCGAATTTCAAGATCCTGAACAATGAACACCTGCCTGGAGACCGGGTGCTCTAGGAGGCTGGACTCACACTCAGGCTTACACGGGGGGTAGACTTCATGCTGAAACTTCACCTTAACAGACAAGAAAAACACAGCAATCTTGACTTTCTTTTGGCTTTCTCCTGTTTTTTTTCCTTTTTGTTGAGATTTTATGTATCTCTATTTGTGTGGCTGAGTTGTCTATGCACCGTGTGCAAGCTGTGCTACAGGTTAGAAGGGGGCCCTGGATCCCCACAACTGAAGTTAGAGCTGACTGTGAGCCTCTCAGACAGGCCAAGCATTAAATCAACGTAAATGTCATAGTGCTCTGTCCTGTGGCCTCTAGACATTCACAGGGGGCCTGCACAGGTGCACTCCAAAGTCAGGCCCTCCCAGACAGGCAATTCAATAGAGCAGTGGTTCAAGTGGCCCACCAGAAAGGCAAATGCTGGGCAGGGCTCAGAAACATGTACCGAACAAAGGCCTCCAGGGGACTCTGGGAACCACTGCTCCAGGGGTGGCCTGGGAAAACAAAAACACCTCAGGCTTTTCAAAGTATCAAAGCAAAAGCTGAGATGAGACCTATACTCTGGGGGCAGGGACCTAAGGCTTCAAGACTCATGCTTGGGTAAGACCAGTGAACCCTCACTAATATGCCTACTGAAGTGATTCTTCCCTTTCAAAACACCATCTTACCTTGCTTAATTGTATTTCCATTAAAAAGTCATGGTTCCTTCCTTTGCCCCCACAGACTGTATGACGTCCATGCCTTGTAGGTGTTTGAGAAGGTGAGCTATGGGGACTACTAAAAAGGAGAAAGAGGGGGAAAAAAATTAAAAACAAACAAAAAACTCTTCTTTGTTAAAAGAATATTCAATTTAATGAATGACATCAGAAAAATTAATAAGATAACCAAGAGAAAACATTACAGAACTACTACAATGGTCCACAAACTGTGTTACTATAAATCAGATTTTCTCTCTTAGCCAGGAGTGGTGGTGCAGACCTGTAATCCCGGCTCCTCTCGAGCTGAGTGGGACAGCATGTGCCTACCCTGTGCAATGCCTGAGGTTGAAGCCCCTATGCCATGGGGGAAATGTGTTATTTATATTTTGGATATATTCAAAACACAATTTTATTACTGCCACATGCAAAGCCTAATTATGATGCTGGACGCCAAACACACTTGGAATGAAGCCTCTGTAACTTTCTTTTTTATCTCAGAAATCCAAGTCAACGATAGAACTCAACCAGGACAGAAGCATTCCAAATTAACCAGTAAGTAGAAAAGGGTATTCAACTGCTTGTACCAAATCGTTCTGCCTGGGAAACTTCTATGCCACCCCATCCCATATACATATTTGCTCCAGCACACCTACACTTTCTACTCAGTTCTCCCCACACTATGGAACACTGCTTTGCTTAATCAAAAATACTCAGTTCTGGGCATGGAGAGATGGTTCAGAGGTTAAGATCACTGGATGCTCTTACAGAGAACCTAGGTTCTGTTCCCATCACCTACATGGTGGTTCAATCATCCATACATAACTGCAGTTCCAGAGAATGCAACTCCCTCTTTTGACCCAAGAGTACCAAGCATGCACATGGTGTACAGACACTGACAGACAAAATACACACATAAAATCAATAGGCCTTAAAAAAAGTTTAAAACATAAAATAACACTTGGCTCTGCTTCATATCCTGTTAGATGCTGGGGGCTCCAGGCAAGCATGGACTCTGCCTCCTGACACACACTCACTTCATTTTATGGACCTCATTCAGTCACATAACCTTTTCTCCCTTTGAAACTGAGGGCGGAGGAATGGGTATCATTCATTTTCATAAACAAACACACTATGGGTAATGCTTGCTTAGTGAATGAAAATCTTCAAAGTCAACATTTTAGTAAATACATGAGAAATACAAGTAAGTTCACAGCCAACTTTAGGTGTGACATTTAAAATATGTATTTGAATACTAATTTATTCTTCCTTAAGATAAATACCAGGTTTAAGAGCATTGACTGCTCTTCCAAAGGACTCGAGTTCAAGTCCCAGCAACCACACGGTAGCTGACAGTCTGTAACCCCAGTTCCAGGGGATCCAATGGCCTTTTCTGGCCTCTGTGAGCACTGCCTGTGTGCTGCAGACATACATCCCCACAAAATACCCAGACACATAAAAATAAGTAAATCTTAAGGGAAAAAAAGATAAATTTCATGTGTTTTTCTACAGACAGGTAGCTCTATTGATCCATGGAATGAACTTACATGTAACTCTTAGCTGGAGAAGTAGGAGGGACTGTTGCAAAGTCCTTGCCTCCATAAAGATGCCACACCAGCGAGACTTCCTTAACAACATAGCGAATGGCCGGGATGGGAAAGTGAAGCGGGGCTTTGCTGCTATCCATCCTTGTAATGGGCAGACTGAAATAGTCGTCTCTTATCACAATCGCATCGTCAACCATGATCTTTATCACTGGCTCTTCTTCCTTCTCCTGAAACACACCAACAGGGAGTACTCTCACTCACCACAAACAACTGGTGTGCCTCACAGACCAACGGGTTTTCTTGAGTCTACATTCTTTTCAATAATTTCAATATATGAAGCAGTGTAACAATTTGTTCTCTTTGAAATGGAGTCTCATACTATAGCTCTGATTGGTGTGAAACTTGTTAGGTAGCTGAGGCTGGCTTTGAACTTGTAGCAATTCTCCTGCCTCCTGAGGCCTGGGATTACAGGGATGCACCAGCACATACAGTTTGGGTAATAATTTCTGACATTAGCCAGGTGGTGGTGGCGCACGCCTTTAATCTCAGCACTCGAGGCAGAGCCAGGAGGATCTCTGTGAGTTCGAGGCCAGCCTGGTCTACAGAGCAAGATCCAGGACAGGCACCAAAACAACACAGAGAAATCCTGTCTTGAAGAAAAAAAATATATATATTTCTGACATCAATCATCACATAATATATTGTACTTTATTGTCATAAAATAAAATCTGCTCTATAAAAATCAACTCATGAATATTTCTAAAGTTTATAATTTGGCACTTACTATTTGATCATTGAAAGTTGTGTGTGTGTGTGTGTGTGTGTGTGTGTGTGTGTGTG